ACCGTTACGGCAGCCCTAGCAGTAGACAAGCGGTCAGCGGGAACCCGAATCACGCGGTCCTGCCGTCAGTGCCCGGGGACCCCACCAGCCCCGGAGGGGGAAATGCACCACGGACCCTGTGCAAAGCACAAGACACGACGGCCCTGAGCTGGGGTTTCGACAAAGGAGAGGCAATAGCTCTCTCCACCTGGCAGAGGTATCACCCTGCTTGGCTACCCCTCAGGCCCCGGGGTTCACCTCTTTCCTTCTGAGCATCTCACCAGCCAGCCAGCAGCACCCCAGAGAGTGTGAAATCCAAGGCAGCACTCAGCAGAGCCCGGGCCGGGCGGAGGAAGGTTTCGCCAGTTTGCTAAAATGAGGCTAGGTGACGGTGATCTACGGGTTTGTTAGCCACGAAAGCAGGTCACTGTCACCATGAATAATCAAGGTGGGGTGTCTACTCCAAGGCAAATGACGCTTCGTGCCCAAGCCAGCCTCCCACAGAGGACACCACCTGCCGTCTCCTGGGGCAGACACAGCTGCCGCTCTCGGCGTCCTCCGGGAGGGGAGCCACCGGGAAGATGACGGGCCCCTGCTCTGGCCCCTGCCCGTGCTGGACTGTGCTCCTCTCTGGGCAGCTCTGTGATGGGACTCGAGGCACCTCTGCCATCTGTGGGATGAACAGCCAGCCCCCCGAGCCAGTTTCCATCACTGACAGTTTGGAACTGCAGAAAGAAGGGGCCGGGAGCTCCTAAGGCCGCCACAGGGCCGCGGGCAGTCTCGGGACTCACGGCACTGCCTCTCCACGCACCCCGCACCCCGCACCCCGCACCCGGCAGGTGCTTCTGCCAGCCGCCTCCAGCTCGCCAAGAACCCCGCTGAGGACGAATAGGAATCTCCAGTTCTCTAAGCACTTCTTGTTCCTCAGAGCCATTACCTCTACATTTCTAGCACTGAAAACAAAAAAAGAAAAAAATACAGGATTTAGCACCTGTTTGTTTCAGAAATACTTGCTAAAAACAGATCCTCCAAAAGGCCACCTTTAAAATTAGTCGTGTCTCCAGCTCTGCAGAACATAGTAAGTTGTATTTTTAGTAACTCCTCCACTCCAGGTAGCTGGCGGAGGTGCTCAAAGTGTAATTATTAGCAACTTACTAAGCAGGCAATTGTTATTTTTAGCCCCAGAACAGCTCCAAGGAAAGCAATAAACAGGCTTAGGTTTTTAACCAAAGGTTAGAACGAGATAGTAGACATCTTAACCAATCGTGTTATGTAGCCAACTTTGTATCTTAGAGACACTTAGTCATTAAAGAAGGTTACTGTGGCATCGCTGTCTCCCCTTCTCGGCGCCCACGAACCGGCTCCGTACCTGGCATATTGCTTCTCTCTGTTAGCCTTTCCGACTATATTTTATCGATTTTTTAAGTGTTTTTTCTTTATTGATTTGAGAGAGAGAGGAAGGGAGAGATACAAACACTGATGAGAGAGAACATGGATTGGCTGGCCCCCTGCATGCCCCGCACTGGGGATTAGGCCCTCCTGGGGCATGGGTCAACACCCAACCACCGAGCCACACCAGTGGGGCATATTATATCGATTTTTTTTTTTTTTAATGTACTAAGAGCCCTGGCTGGGTGGCTCAGTTGGTTGGAGCGTTGTCCCATATATCAAAGGGTTGCGGGTTCGATTCCCAGTCAGGGCACATACCCAAGTTGCGTGTTCAATCCAGGTCAGAGGCAACCAATTGATGTTTCTCTCTCACATCAATGTTTCTCTCTCCCTTCTAGGCTAAAAGCAACAAAAACATATCCTCTAGTGAGGAAAAAGCAAAATGTACTAAGAACCCATTAAGTGCCAGCCAAAACTCTGCATTTCACAGGTAGCAGGGGCCTGTCGGGCAGTGAGCACAACCTCTCTGGGTCTTTCGAAGTAATCACTAGATACTCCTGCTCAGCAACTTTGCTCTTTGTCCCAAAGCTACAGAGAATACTCTGATTTTCTGATCATTTTCCCTCCCCCAATCAGCAACTTAGGTCTAGCCCATGACACTCAGCCGAGTGAGAACGTGCCAGGGAAGAGTTCCATACGACCGAGTGAGTTACTGCTTTTTAAAGCCACATGAACAGAGACTGCTTCGACGCAAAGCTAGCGGAGAAAATTAGGTCTCCGCCAAAGCCGTCCTTTCTCTTCGAGCAGAAAAGGGCCACCCAGATTCAAATGACTTTCAGACAATCAACTTCAGAGGAAAAGGCAGGGGTGGGAAGGGAAGCCTCTAGGTAAGATGCGATGGGGGAGCCTGGCGTGACCGTCAAAAAAAGTGGTTTTGTCGCCTGGACTCAAACAGTAATTCCCAGCAAGCCATGGAGGATGTCGTCCAAATCCTTCTGAAATGTGTACTCAGTTCACATACACACACACACACACACACACACACACACACACACCCTCCATTCCCACCCCTCCCCTATCCAGCTTTTTCATGAACTGACTCCCACCCTGCTGCCCTGCTGTCCTGGATCCTTTCACTCGGGGGGAGCGGGGGGGGGGCGCATACATCTATTTCTTACTACAGTGTTCATGACTTAACTCCTCTTCCACTGTGGTTTATGTCCTTTAGAAAAGGACAGGAGAAAAGTGAAATGCTTTCTCCAAAAAGTATACAGCCTCTAAAAGGGGGAAGTGTTGGGGTGAGAGGCCTTCCTGAGCCACTCACATGACCCACCTTGGGGGACACTTCAACTCCCTTCTGTCACCTCCCCGTGCCTGGCTCACATGAGTAGCCCTCCCCCAGGGGAAAACCCTCTTAATAGCTCACTGCTGAAAGAGACCAAGAGGCACCATGTGGTGTGAGGGTGACTTCACCTGTCTTGGCCTCAGTAAGACAATATCCAGAACAGAGGGGAAGGGGTCATGAACTCATCAACCCTTCCCAGGCAGAGCCACGGGCGGATGCTAGCATTTTCTCTCTCTCTAAGATCTGCCAAAACCCAAATCTATTAGTTAAGCATTCAAGGTGTTGGATTGGGGAGATAAAAGCTGAGTGACACACATTGTTTCTTTAAAGCTGGTAATTACCAGGCTCAAACCCAGGTTTCTCATGATGCTCAAGGCTGGAGAAGAGCCCAAGACAGAAATGCCCCACCTCACCCCTCCTCCTCCACCCTTAGAACCACTGTCCTTAACTGGCTCCAGCCAGACAGTGCAGCAAAATATTTTACATCCAACTAACAGTTCTGCCCTTGCGGAGATGAGGAGAAATGGATCACTTAACAAAGGTAAGGTGAGTGAGAAAGGACTTGAGCACTTAGGGGTGCAGGGGCTCCTCATTTCAACCCCATCTGGACAGGAACTCCCCGCATTCCTGTGCGCCTAGCACTGAGCTCTGGAACCCAAGCAGGTAGGGACTGAGCCTGAGCAAAAGGGCACTGGGAGGGACAGGACCCCAGAGACGGGAGTGGAAATGGGCCAGAGCAGCCTGGAAGGACAGGCCGGGTAAGTCTGCCCCTAAAGCCGGCCATTCACTGTCAGCATAAAGCCTCGTCTCTTCTTGCTGTCTCATGAGGAGACACACACACACAAGCAGCCTGAATCCTGTATGTTTGGAATGGAAATGAGTTTCTACCACCCCAGCCTACATGAACTCAGACGGGAACGGTGCCAGGCAGGGAGTGCTCTGGAATTGGGAGGCTGGGCCTCCGGCACTTGCACCCTGACTGGATGTGTAAGGGGAGGGGGCTACCCAAGCAGCCAAGCGTGCCCTGCTCCCTTTGAACTAGAATGAGGTTTGGAGTTTTTGTTTTGTTTTGTTGTTTTTTGTTTCTGTCTTCTTTGAAGAGTTGCTCAATCCCATGAATTCCTCCTAAACAGCCTTTTTGCATGGAAATTCAAGCAAAAGGCACTTCTAAAAGTACTCACTCTAACCCTAACCCTAACCCACAACAAAGGGCTTCAGGAACCTAGGGCAAATGACAAGGGTGCCGGAGACCTGGCTCCAGGGAGCAGTGGAGAACCAAGGAGGAAAACTAAAGCCAGGGGACCAGGGGACCAGGGGACAGGAGGCAGGGCACCTCACACTGCCATGGGAGAGGTCCCAGCACAGCATTCCCAGGAGTTCCCAGGGTGGATGGGGGGGCCCAAAGCCCCCTGCCCACCAGTGCCGCTGCCCCCCTGGGCTGTGTGTCGCAGAAGCGACTGCTCCCAGACCAGTGCTGAGCGACCCCAGCCTGGGGGAGCCTGCAATCTGAGATGATCTAAGCTTGCGGTGACCCCATGCCTGGGCCACTCCCCTCAGAAGTCAGTCCTTATACCTTGGATTTCTTCTCACAGATATAAGTTACAACTGAGATCTACCTGGGCCTCCCCGGGCGAGAGTTCACAACTACCTAACTTCTCACTTGTCCCAAGGCTTGAGATGGCGCCCCTGGGGGGTGGGGGTGTCTTCCTTTGCCTTCTCCTCTTCCAGAAATACAAGAATGCACCTCCCAAGTCTGCAGTCTGGGGAGATAGGCAGGTAGTTCGATACCTGCCAGGGCAGGGTCCTTCCTGCAGCTTCCACGCAGGCAATGGGGGGAAGGGAGGGGTAACCTCCTCGGGCTGAAAAACTTGCCTCAGCTGCCCCGGCCCAGCGCACAGGTGGAGAGGAATGTCCCCCACCTTTTCCCAGAGCCTCGAGTCGGGGCTCACTCCTGGCTCCCCCCGAGGGCTGGCTAACCCGCCCCCACCCACACCGTGAGGATGCACGCACTCCCGCCCGCTCCCCCTCTCCCTAACCTTCAGCCCCGAAGGCCCAGGAGCCAAGCCCCCCACCCCGCGCTGGTGTCCGCCAGGCGGCGCCCTTCCCGGAGCAAAGGGGCTGCAGGCGGCTCCAGGGTGAGCCCGCCGCCCCCCGGGGACCCGACCCCAGACCGCCCCCGGGAAAGGCCGAACCGCCGCGGGCCCGCGGTGGGCTCACCCCGCCCGGAAAGGGACGGCAGCAGCGGGACTCGCGCCCGGCCCAGGCCCGCGCAGCCGGGGCGGCTCACCTTCTCGCCGGTCAGCACGTGCAGCCCCTCGCGCACCTTGGCGAACGAGCCCTCGCCCAGCTTCCGGCTGCCCACCAGGTAGTTGCCCACGCGCTTGTGGTGCTGGAAGTCGCGGAGCCGCTCGCGGGGCACGCCGCTCACCCAGGCCGGCAGGAAACTTCCCTCGCAGGCCGCCGCCGGCCGGGCCGCGTCCTCGTCGCCCAGGAGCCCGTCCCCCGCCGCGGCCGGCATCGCGCCCCGGCTGCTCCTCCGCCGCGGCTCCGGCTCCGGCTCCGGCTCCGGCTCCTCCCGCCGCCCGGGCCCGGCGCCGCCGAGCGCGCAGACAATAGCGGCCGCCCTGGCGACGGGGGCCGGGGACCCGCCCCCAACAAGTTCTTCTTCGGAGGGTAGTCTGGCCCCTTTCAGGGCGCGGGCCCGTCCGGGCGGCCGAAGACGGCGGCCTCGCCGGGGGACGCGGAGCCGCTCCGGCCCGGGGAAGCGGCGGGGGCGCGGTCCGGTGCGCGGTCCCCGACCCCGGCGCCTCGGAGCCTCCGCCCGCCGCCGGCTGGTCCCGGCTCGCCTAGCGGGGCGCCCTCTGGCCGGCCGCGGAAGAAAGCCCCATTCAGCCGGAATTCGCAGAAATTCAATCCGGCGCGGGCGGCGGGAACAGCCGCGAGCCCGCCGCGCAGCCTGTGCGCTTTCCAACCGCTCGTGGCCCCTCCTCCCCGCCGGCAGCCGCTCGGCCCTCGCTGGAGGGGGGCCGGCAGGGGAGCGGCGCAGCCCCCCGAGGGGCGCACGGGGGACCCCGCGCGGCCTGGCGGACGCGCGCTCCCGGCCGCCCGGGTCGGGCCGTCTCCCGCTGCGCTCCCGCCGGATCCTGAGCTTGGGCTTTTCTGGAGCTTTCGGCGCCGAAATCGCCCCCCAGCCTCTCCCACCCGGGGCAGGAGGGAGGGCGGGAGGTGCTCCGACCGGGGGTCCGGCCCGGGCCTGGCAGACAGCAGGGCCCCTGGCCCCTGGGCGAGCGGACGGGGATGGGCGGGCGGGCGGGAGCTGGGGAGGTGGCCGGGCGTCTGCCTGGCTCGCTCGCGGGCGGGACTGTTGAAGGAGGAGCCGCAACAATGATCGCAGCGGGCGCAGCGCGGGAACCCGGGCGTCTGCAGCCGCGGGCGGGCGCGTGGACTCTGCTTTCCGCCGCGGCGGTGCGGGACCCGGCGCCCCGCGCTCCCTGCTCCGGAGGCTTTTGTTCTGCGCGCCCCGAGACTGTGACCTCCCCTCGTAAACAAGCACAGCCGCCCTGAGACTGGGATCTTCTCCAGGATCCCCACCGTCTTCTCAGACCAGAAACGAGGAATCCCCTGAGGCAGACGCTGGGGAGGGGGCCGGGGGGCGCATTTACAGAACGAGAATGCTACCTGTTGAGCCGCCGGGTAGAAGGCGCCCCCGTTTGACGCATACTTAACCCAGATCCTGCAGCGCCCGAGTTGCAAGGGGAGGTTAGCCCCAGCCAAGCTCCTTTCATTGACGCTGCAACAGGTATCACGGGGTCCAACTCAGTGCTCCGAAAGGGGGGCGTGGGGGGCAGCTGTCATTAGTCCAGCGTCGTGGGTGCTTCTCTGACCGATCCGAAAAGTGACCCAGGGGAACATCTATTTTAAATAGATGCAATTTTAAATAGCATGCTCTAATCAACAGCTCACATGTTTACAAGTCACCAGCCTTCCCAGGACCGAGCTGTTTTCTCTGTCTTCTCAATATTGCGATTTTTCAATATTAAAGACACAGTTGCAGATGTTTTTCTTGCTGTGGTTAAGGGACCTTTTTGTCACCACCCCATCCCCCACCATTTCTGCAAGGCTCGATCTCTACTGCCTCTAATTCATCAAATTTTCAGAGGACAGTAACATGGGGTGAGGGGGACACTTTCCAATGAATGAGGGCTATGGAGCTCACTTTGGGGTCAAAACCATTCTGAATCTTCCTTCAGAAAAGCTTTTGGATTCCCCTCCAATGTTGTATTCATAGAGTATGCCTTATTTTAAAATTCAGGACATTAGCTCTACATGAAAATTTAGAAATCCCCTTAATTTGGTGTGAGGCAAATGTCAGGGACTCTTGTTCATCAAAGCTTCTTTATGACCTAAAAAAAAATAGCTTCAGGCAAAAAAAATGGTGGAAGACATTTACAATGAAAGAGAGATTTTCTTCCCTTTTAATTATCCTCTGGGGTGGAGGTCAGGAAAGGGGTGAAGAAGAGAGAAAAAGCAGGCCCATTAAATCTTTTTCGAGCCTGCTGCCTGGGTTTGATTCAAGTTCACTGCTAATTCCATCAGCTGGATGGATGCCAAAGAGAAGTTCAAATCCTACGCCAGCCGGGGTTTAGCAATTGGTTTGTGAACTACAGGTCCTGCTCTCTGAAATGACCTTGTTTAATAAGGGATGACCCCAGAAATTCCTGTATGAAGACAAATTAGTACACAGAACAATGTATGGCTCTCCTATCAGATACGCAGAAAACATCTGGTTGAAAGCCGTCCCCCGGCATCGAAGACTTCCCAGTTGTTGTAAACTGAATTTCTTCTCCCCCTGTGGGGTCGCCCTGGGCACTAGATCAGCTGTCTCACCTCTGCACCTTTTCCTATGCTGCCCACCCCCAATCTGCCCCCTCTGCCTCCTTCCCACCTAGTCCCATGTCCCCTGTCCTATGAAGCCCCCAAAGCCACCCAGCGGCAGGGCCAAGGGGCTGCTCTGTGTTCTCCCACTGTGGACCCCTCATTTCACTCTCTTCTGGTGGCCTGGATGACTCCCCATGGGTGTCTTTGTTTTCTTCTTCTCTTTTAGATTCATTGAGAATAGGAGTTGTATCTTATTTTATATTTGATTCGCCCTAGAGCACCTAGCACAGTGCCTGAGACATGGTCATTGTTCAATAAATATCTGTTGAATAAATGAATGAAAGGCATGGCTCACCAGTGAGTGGCCGTCATGGCTCCTGAGAGCAAACCCTCTTCTGTCCTGGGGAAGGATATTTTAGTAACTTTCTCAAAGCCTTTGCAGCTGGTTGTTGGTTGCCTTTGGGGGGTCAACAAATACAATCCCTTGTCTTGTCCAAGATGGGCCATGCTCTAACTGGGATGAGTTAACCCTTTAAAACACATTAGTTGAAGGGGGGAAAGGGAGACATCTGTAATCCTTTCAACAATAAAGATAAATTTTTTAAAATAAAACATGTCCGCCCTGGCCGGTTTTGCTCAGTGGTTAGAGTGTCGGCCCTCGGACCACTGAGTCAAGGGTTTGATTCCGGTCAAGGGCACCTCTCTTGGTTGTGGTTTGTACCCGGCTCTGCTCTAGTCAAGCAGGGGAAGCAACCAGTCGATGGGCTTCTCACATTGATGTTTCTCTCTCTCTCTCTCTCTCACTTCTTCCCCCCCCCCTCCCTCCCACTCTATCTGCTGATAAATAGAAAAATATCTTCGGGTGAGGATTTAAAAATAATAATAAAATAGAGTAAAACATTACCAATCACCTGAGAAGCTGTCTCAGTTGACTTGTACCAGCTGCTTCCTTCCTCCCCGGCTCCGTCCCATCTTTGCCCCCCAGGTGGCCCCCACAGCCAGCCAGCCAGGAGACCCAGCTGGAAGCAGTCAGACAATTAGAAGTGATCAAGCTGGTGAGGCCAGGAAATGAAGTTGGCCAGAGGGTCAGGCTGCCAAGCCAGACAGCAGGCACGAAGAAACTTCGCCCGGAAGACATTCCGTGGACTCCAGGCTTGCGTTCTCCCCAAACAGCTTCCAATAAGTAAGAGCAGGACTTGCTCCCACATCCCCGGAGTTCCTGTCCACCGGGATTCTTTCCCAACACGCAGCTGTTGGACGTGCCCAGTGCAAGGCTGAAGAAGGAAGGGCTCCTCGGTCACCAAGGCTGTGGGTGGCGGAGCGGGCTGTCTGCCACACCCTACAATGAAGAACTCCCTCGGAATGAACCCCACTCGTACCTCTGGGCCTCGGATTCTTGCAACTGGGATGTCAAGGGAGGGTGAGCCATCAATGAGAGCACCACATGAAGCACCTGCCCCTCCCCTGTGCGCAGAGCTCGGGACTTTCCCATTAGCAGTTACCGTGACAACACTGACAGTCACCCGACAATGCCCGGAGTCCCACAAACTCGACTGCCCCGTTCCTGAGAACTCCCAAAGCACCTTCTCCAGGCTGGATCTCTTCCCGGAGTCCTGTGGGCAAGCTCTTCATATCCGACAGTGGTGGGATCTCAGACGTAACTGGGGCTCAGACACACGCACCCCCTCCCCAGGGTTCTCCTAGGACTTCGGCCAAGTTCACCGCAACACCTAGGACTGGTCCTCTGCTTGCTCTCCTTCCCGGGCCTGGCTTCCAACGCCGGCCAGTCCCATAGGCTCTGCCTGCACAGTGTGGCTCCTGTGCCCTGTGCCACCGCCCTCTGTCGCCCTCTTCAGGCCACCGTCCTCAAATCTCCTAAATGGTGTCCCTGCTCCCACACCAAAGTCAACACCATCCCCGAAACGTGGGAGTCAGGCCCCACCAGTGGTTGAGCGTCAACCTGGCACCGAGAGGTCACCAGTTCGATTCCTGGTCAGGGACCTTGCCCAGGTTGGGCCCGATCCCCAGTGAGGGTTGTGCAGGAGGCAGCCAATCCACATTCTCTTTCATCGATGTTTCTATCTCTTCCTCTCCCTCCCCCCTCTCTAAAAATACAGAAAAAAAATTTTTTAATAAAAAAATAAAAGTGGGAGTCAGATCACATCAGTTCCCTCCCCCAGCTAGACCCCACCCCAGAGCCTGGTCTGGCATGCCCCCGCCCCCACTCCAGCCACCGGCCTCCTGAGGCCCAGAGTACCTGCCCCTTGCTCTTCCTGCAACCGCCAAGCTCTTCCCCACCTCAGTGTGCGTCCTGGATGTTCGGGCGACACGTTTATTCCAGACCATGTCACGGTCTCCGTCCCTTCAGTCAGGGCTCTGTGTCTCCATTCCAGAGCGTCCTCTCCCTGCAGCTCCCTGCCCGGCTCCCCTCCCGCCCTTCGCAGTGGGACAGGAGGCTGCACATCAATTGCTGTGTTCGCTCTCTCCCTCTGGAACGGAAGGTCCATGAGGCCGGGGACTTTGTGCCCCAAACCCCGTGCCAGCCTGGCACACTAAGGTGCCTCGTCTCGACTCCCACCAGCTGCTGCACGCAAGGAGAGACCCTCCGGTGTGTGTGGCACGGGCAGCGTGATGGGTGTG